TAGAGGGCGCCAGACTCAGAGCCAGGGCTGCTAGCCGCCTGGAGCCTGGCCCTGCTCTGGCAAATCTACAGAAAGAAAACATTGGATTTTTATTGCATCCACCTTGAATTGTACAGAAGGATAACTGAGCTTATAGGTTTATTTTGTGATTCCCATTCCAGAGTCTTACTGCCTTCATTCATTGTTGATTAGGCACCATGGACATGGCTTTAGTGCTAGACAATATACAAAGAATCTTTACCCTGAAAGACTGTGGAGCTAAGAGTATAAAGCAAACTGGTGTGTTTGGGGAGCAATAAGAAAAGAGCGGCCCTAGCCGGTTTGGCTCAGTGGATAGAGTGTCGGCCTGCAGGCTGAAGGGTCCCAGGTTCGATTCCAGTCAAGGGCATGTACCTTGGTTGCAGGCACATCCCCAGTGGGGGGTGTGCAGGAGGCAGCTGATCGATGCTTCTCTCTCATCAATGTTTCTAACTCTCTATCCCTCTCCCTTCCTCTCTGTAAAAAATCAATAAAATATATTTTTTTTAAAAAGAAAAGAGCGGGTATTTGGAGAGAAATGTGCAAAATGAACTTATAGACTAAATATTAATGTCTTAAGGTTCTTTATTGTAATGAATTAATCATATCACTGTCCCCATCATGAATCTATTGATAAGAAGTAACTGGCTTCCTTGGCCCCTTCAAAGCCAAGACCGAAGGACCATAGTTCTGTGTTTTATTAATATTTAATAAGGAATCACAATGTACTTATTTTAAAATAGAAGCTTCAGTGTTCAGTGTTGAATACATCCTTTTATTTTGGATTTTGCTTTAATAATAGCCAATATACCATTTGAATAGTCAACCATTTGAACTATGTACACGTCATATTAGCGGTGCTAAAAGGCTTTCTTTTCTCTCCCATAGGCTTTCTACAAGCATCAGAGAATTACAGAATTTTAAAGTCTTATTGCAACACAGTAGGTAATAAAGGCTTTCCTATGTCTGGTTAGACATAAAGTGACTGTGAGGACTTTTCCTCTTGGACATTCAGCAGAAGGAGTCTAACCTTCCGGGACTTCAAGAATCTGAGCTCTTAAGGAGAAATGCAAATGTTCACTTGAATATTTATGATTCTGAATAGACTGTCAATTAGAGGTATTTATAAAGGAAGTATATACTTTTAAAACATGTAAGTTATGCTAATTCCGTGTTTAATTTCGTTGCCCTCTGTTGAATGTTCTGCTATGCTGTTCGGTTGGAATTGGTTTTGTTCCTACTCTTGTTATGCTTCATTTCCAGTTGTCAGACCTAAACGACTGTTTCCTTCCTGGTAGCACTGTGAACTGTCTGTGATGGGAAGGCGAGGCCGGGAGCGTTAGGGCTGGTCTCGGGTGGGGCTGGCCGGGGACCGCAGTGCCTGGCCGGCCTTGCTCTGTGTCACTCCTAGCATGCGGGAGTGCCTGTGTGATGGGTGGCCTTGTAGGTGTCTAGTTTCAGAAGTTCCTGAAGAGTCCCCAGGACTTCCACTCCCACTTCATTGGTTTGTGTCTAAGTTTGTAGTTGCTGTTGTAGGTTCTCTTGGTCTGAAGGCCCGGCTTCGGTGAAGGTAAGTACCACTGCCTGCCGCCAGGCCAGGCCCTGAGTGAGGGTGGGCCCGGGCGTCTGTACTCAGAACCCGGACACCAGTTTCTTTGATTTTGTGTTTCTTTGTATCTTCTCCAATTTTAGAAATGTTCATTTACTAAACAAAACACACACAAAAAAAACAAAACACAAAAATTGCATAAATATTTAGCAGTTTCCATCTTGATAAAATTTGAGTGGGAGTTCATGGATTTATAATGCCAATTTAAAACATGATGTGCACAAAACTTACTATTTTCCATTCAGGGAAGCATTTTTAGGGGTTTTACTTTAGAGCACAGTCTATGCAATCCTCAGTTGGTTTCCTCGGGCGGGAGGTTTAAGCAGGGGGGTCAGCTCAAGCCCCTGGGCTGCCCCTCCCCTCTCCTCTCTCTAGTTCATGGCATGTAAGCCGCCCTTCGGGGCATCTTTGCCAACAGGTGACTCATTGGCCCTAAGCAGTCACTTCTAAACCCGGGATCCAAATACCCTTAACATTGGAAATGCTGATCCTTTTAAAAGGTGCTAGGAGATAGAATGTGGGAAGGTGGCGCCTGTGTGGAGGGAGGGAGGGGACAAGTAGGTCTCCTTGGCCTCTTGAGTCTTGTGTGAAGTCATAGGCCCTTAACGCCCATGGCTGCTGGGCCCCAGTCGGCGCCGTGACCACTGGGCTAGTGGCACGTTTTACAGCCATTGGGTTGGCTCCCTGTCTTTTAAAAAGACTTAGTCACCCTTGCAGGGAGGGGTGTGGATGGAGGGAGGAAGGGCTCACTGGCTAATTCTCTCCTGACCCGGTTCCTAGCTGCTGTGGAGCTGGGCTTTGTTGGCGATGGTGATGTTTTTGTTCAGTCGAATGAACAGACTGGCTGGGAGCCGCCTCCACTTTCCCTTCATTTTAGGGGTGCAAGTGTCGTGTGGCAGGCGAGGGGACCTTGGGGTAAACAGGTTTAAAAGTGATCATATTGCAGGTCAGTTGTATCGCGGAGAATTACTCCCAGTGCTCATTCGGAGCTTAAGAAAATGTGAAAGTTTGCACTTGGTTTATTTTTCCTGTAAGCTTAAAAATCGTTTTGGGGGTGTGACTTCCTCGTTCCCTCAGCTGAAGACAAAGCCTATTATTTAAACTCGATTTCCTGCAGAATCCTTGGTCATTTCCTTGTATTGCTTTTTCTCTGTACTTTGATTTGCTTCAAACTTAGGCAACAATTGTACGTTAGTGTGAGTTCTAGGCGATTCAGGTCTGGTTGGGGTAAAAGCTCTTTTCAAAGTTTAAACCGATGTTTTTTCACTGCCGAGAAAAATAAACAAATGAAGTCTATTTAAGCTGAAATTCATTTGCTTCACTTATTTTACCATAAATCAGATTGTGGGGGAAGCCTGCATCTTTGTGCCTGTGTTTCTTAAGCGGTTCATGTGCTGTAAGAATCTGTGTTGTGAGCCTGGTGGTTGGTGGTCATGTGATGTAAGCTGCTTTTCCAGGTCACGTGCCTTTGCTGGGAAGTGATACAGGACACTGACTGCTTTGTAAACACTTGGCTGGTAGCACCTCTTGGCATTGTGTCTTTATCTCGTCACCTGGTTGGGAACCTCGCACTGGGTACTATAACGACAGACATGATGGTCCAGCTGATGAAGCCAGAAGATGCAGATGGGGCAGCGACCCCCCCTCCAGGGGCACCAGCCTGTTTTCTTAGTGGCATCGATGTGAGTGAGAAACGCTCTCTATTGAAATGGGTCAAGTTTGCCTGTTGCTCCTGTGGTGACTCCCAGGTCCGAGGAGGGTCAGACAGACGAGTAGTGGTTTTCAGGTTTGACACCTGGTGACTAGCACCTCTTGACGTGTTCACGTGAGAATGCCTGGCCCTCCGTGGTCTCTGCGTGTGTTGAAACTGTGCCGTGTTTCCCAGCCGCCCTGGTGCCTGTGCACGTGAGCGAGGACAGCCCCTGACCCTCAGCGCCGCCTCCCGCTGGACACCGGGATCGGCTCGCAGTAAACCTCTCGGCAGTTTGTGAGCACAAGTACCCGCAGAAACCACGGCTTTTCACCCCACAGCCTGGGTGCCGGGGTCATGGAAAGCGTTTGTAAAACAGCACAGCACACGCAGATGCGAGTGCGCCTCTTCTAGGGAATATCCACAGGAACAGAATCGCAAGTCCTGTGCTGTTGTACCCACTGTGTCGTAGGCATGCAAATTAAAGCAAATGTTTCTGCCACCTTTCCTTCTTGTTTCCCCTTTTATTTATTTACTAGTGGCCCGGTGCACGGATTCGTGCACATTGAAAGGAAATTAATTAGAAGAAATATTTTAATATCGCTATTCGCCCTTTCTCTATAATAGAAGTGTCAGCCAAATTCACAATCGACAATGACAGCTCGAAACGTGTGATGGGTGCCAGCGAGAGCTTCATATGTATCGCACACGCGCCAGTCAGCGTTTATTTTTAAATTGCCAGTGCGCGTCCTATGTTCCAGCCAGTCGGTCGGTTGGACATACATACATACGGTTGGTCACTTAGCCTTTTATATATATAGATTTATTTATTTACTAGAGGCCCAGTGCACGACATTCATGCACTTGGGGGGAGGTGTCCCGCAGCCCATCCTGCGCCCTTTCACAGTCCAGGAGCCCTCAAGGGATGTCCGACTGACAGCTAAGGCCCATTGCCCGCAGGGAGCAGGCCTAAGCTGCCGGTCGACATCCTTAGCGCTATCGCTGTGCTCGCCAGCCATCAGCCTGGCTTCTGCCATTCGGTCGTTCTGCTGTTGGGTCTATTTGCGTATTAGCCTTTTATTATACAGGATTTATTTAGTGTAAATCCTCACCCGAGGATATTTTTCCATTGATTTTTAGGGAGAGTGGAAGAGAGGGAAAGAAGGAGAGAAACATCGATGTGAGAGAAACACATCGATTAGTTGTCTCCTGCACAAGCCCCAACCAGGGCCCGGGCTGGGGAGGAGCCTGCAACCGAGGTACCTGCCCTTGACCGGAATCGAACCTGGGACCCTTCAGTCGCAGGCTGGCACTCTGACCACTGAGCCACACCGGCCAGGGCGTTTTCCCCTTTAAACACTTCCTCTTTTGAGAGGAGGGTTTGATGATAATTTGTGGAGAAGGGAGAGAACCCTGAGCAGTCGGGGGGTTCCTTTGGATTGGGCGGGGCCCTGCCTTAGGGGTTTGCACAGGCCGTCGCCTGGGTCCTAAGGAAGGACCGAGGGGACGGGAGGCTAAGACACTCGCCTGCAGTCCAGGCGGAGGGGCGAGGACTTGAAACCAGGAAGTCTGCCTGGAGCCTCCTCCCAGGACGCGCGGCATCCGTGACCTCACACGTGGGTTCAGTGCCATTCCACTAAGAACCGGCGACTCGCAGCATCTTTTGAATTGTACCGCGTCACAGGCTTTTTAAATAGACATGTTTTATTTAATTTTTTGAACAGGTAATACATTCACATGGTTCAAAAACCAAAACAGAAACGCTCTACAGTGGAATGTGATGTCTGTGTCCCCTCCCCGCCCCCACGGAGGTCTCTGGCCTTGCTCAGGGTCCCAGCCACACGGCGGGAGGCACAGACACGGCTTTACACCGAGTGGCGGCCCAGACGTGCCGTTTGCTTTTCTCACTTAATTTTCCTTGGCAGCTCCCCGGTATCACTAGGTAGCTTTCTCTTCGTCTTTTTAGTTTGTTTGTTTTTTTAGTGACTGCTTGCAATCACTTAACCAACCCCCTATTAGGAATCACGTGGCTCGTTACCAGACCTCACGTAGGTGTCATTTCACACGCATGTAAGGGTGCAGTTGTAGAATTCTGGGGCGAAAGACCGTATGCACTTGTGTGTGTGAAAGGTCTTAGAACGTTGCCCTTCTTAAGGGTCAGTCACCCGTTCCCGTTCCCACCTGTCATTCAGACCATGCCTACCCACAACCTCACAATCTAGGTGTCGTCAGAATCTCCGTTTTGCCAGATGCAAAGTTACAGGTGTGGCTTGTAGTTTTATTATAAGTAAGGTCGACGGCTTTTGACGTTTGAGCCGCCTGCACTTCCCCTTGTTTCTACCTCTGGCCCGTTTTTAGCCTGTCCTGGAATTCCTAGGAGTCATTTATTGGGACTTTGCTTATGGTGGCTTTGCCGTGTGGTTTTATAGTGGTTTCTGGACTTGGAGTCACGCTAAGATTCCCAAGTGGAATCTTCATTCCATAGCAGTAATGTCCCTGTACTTTCTTCTAGAACTTTTATAGTTTAGTGTGTTTAACCTAAATTTTTATTCCTTTCGAGTATATTCTGGCCTAAGGTATAAGTTAGGGATGCAACCGAGTTCTTCCCAGATGACTACCCGGTCATTCTGCATCGTTTATTGAAGTTCGTCTTTCCCTCACTTTAGTGCCCAATTTTGTATTGGCAGGTTTGTTTGTTTGTTTTTCTAAAGATCTCTAACACTGAAGCGTCAGGATCCACTGAAACTGGCTGTGGCCCGGCCAGCGTGGCTCAGTGGTTGAGCATCGACCTATGAACCAGGAGGTCACGGTTCCATTCCCGGTCAGGGCACATGCCCAGGTATTGGGCTCCATCCCCAATGTGAGGCGTGCAGGAGACAGCCGATCCATGATTCTCTCTCACCATGGATGTTTCTGTCTCTCTCCCTCTCCCTTCCTCTCTGGAATCCATAAAAATGTATTAATAACTTAAAAAAAGGACATTGGGGTACTTGAGAACAGTAATGGCCATTCCTCGCTTTCTCTAAGCCTTTAGTATCTGAGTCGCTCTGTTGCTGGACTTAGCAGCATGCAAATTAGGAAACTAAGGAAACTTAACCTTCCTTTCCATCCCAATCTGCAACACATCGCAGGGTAAACATGGTCATTTATTACAGGAGAAAACTAGCCTGACAGTTCTTAACGTCCTGGCTGTGCTTATAATACTTGTGCTTCAGCGTCACCTTTTTAAAGGGGGAGACGAGAAAATTAGGCACTTTTTATCCTTTCCAATAAAAAATAATTCATATAAATACTAGCAGCTTTATCACCGAAAGAGATTATGGCTTTTACCAAATAATGTTGGGCATTTCCATTTTCCTGCCAGTAATAACAGAATAACCAAGTGTTTATATATCATAGGATGAGTATAATCATTATAGGATCTTAGTGATATTTTTATCACTGTGTTTTTATTTAGTTTTTTGGTGGTCAGACATGGGTGGTTTACTTACTTGGGGTTAAATCTCACTGTGTTTTTAAAAAACACATCTACCATTGCCCAGGCCAGTAGCTCGTTTGGAGCATCGTCCTAGTGCGCCAGGGTTGTGGGTTCGATCCCAGGAATCACCTAGTGAATGCATGAATGGGGCCATTTCCCGGCAGGGGGCGGTTTTACAGCTGCAGGAGATACAATTATCATATATGTTACATGTCACATAAATAAATCTATCTTGGAGTGCTGGAATGGCACTTGTGGCTGGAGAACCAGTATTTCACACCGTGTTTCACTTACACGAGAGACGGCGTAGAAGCAGCTGTCTGCAGCGTGTCCCTTGCGTGACCGAGAGGCGTCATGAGAGGCAGTATCGAGGGCTTCTCCTCCCGGCAGCACGAAGCACGCAGCTTCCAGAGGCGCTTTCAGAGTGACTTAAAGGGCGCTGCCCGGCCGGCGTGGCTCAGTGTTGAGCATCAACCTATGAACCAGGAGGTTGCAGGTTTGATTCCCGGTCAGGGCACATACCTGGGGTTGAGGGCTCCATCCCCACTGGGGGGCGTTGCAGGAGGCAGCTGATCGACGATTCTCTCATCATTGATGTTTCTCTCTCTCCGTCTCCCGTCCTCTCTGAAACTACTACAAATATATTTAATATAAAATAAAGGGCACTTTTAAATACGGTTGGAAATGGAAGGAACCCTGTTGGGGGTTCCAGTCTTGTGGCTCCAGGGCCGGGGTGTTTATTACTGACCCCCTCTGGGACCCCCTCCTTGTTCCTTCAATGTCATGGGCGGTCAGTGGACTGGGAAAGGTGCCTTCTTGCTGCCGTCCGAGGTAATGAGTGGATATCACACGTCTTTGGGCTGAAAAACAAGGCCACGTCTCTGAACCCAGCAGAGGAGTCAACTCTGTCCACCTTCTTCCCATGATCCTTTGGGTGCAGACATTAGTGCCCTCCTGAGAAGGAATCCCAAACCCTGGGCAACACTGAGATTCTTGGCATCCACTCCCTGGGCCTTAACCTCTAAGGAGCCCGTGACCTCTAGGTGGTCAGTTGATACTCTGCTACCTTCTACCTTTCACCCTGGGTGCTGTCAGGAGGGTCGCCCAGCGCAGAGCTCAGAATCCAAGGGACCTGGAAAGGTAGGGATCTGAGAAACCCATTCGTCCAAAAGCCTTAAAGAACCCTCAGACCATACACTGTATACTTTCCTTATTTTTCTCCCCATTGATTTTTAGAGAGAGTGGAAGAAAGAGGGAAAGACAGAGAGAAACATCGATGTGAGAGAGACACATCGATTGGTTGCCTCCTGCACGAGCCTGGACCAGGGCCCCGGGCCAGGGAGGAGCCTGCAAACAAGGTACATGCCCTTGACCGGAATCGAACCCAGGACCCTTTGGTCCGCAGGCCGACGCTCTATCCCTTGAGCCAAACCGGCTGGGGCATCTATACTTTTTAAAGTGAATTATGCATCAATGTCTGTGCAAACTAGAACCTGTATTACAGTTACCTTCTCCAAACCCCCTAGTATAGTTTAGCATTATTATTTAAGTTATATAAAATACATTTTTATAAAAGTACAGAATTTTTAAAGTTTAAATTATACCCCTGGAAACAGGCGGCCGGGGCTCCCTTCTTAGTACTAAAATCAGGTTGTGTTGATCTACATTATTGCTTAGCCCTAGGGAGCCAGGAGAAACCTGTAACCGATAAAAATCAAGTCCTATTTCGTGAGGAAAAGTGCCCTAAAGATTCAGCTTTCGTTGCGTCCGTTTTTCTCAAGCTTCTCAACCGAGGAATGGTCCGTAAAGCTGTTAGCTGGTGCTACCCATGACGTGGCTTGCCAGGATCCACTACCAGGTCCGGAGAGAAAGTCCCCGCTGGTGCCAGGAAGCTGTTTGTCTGCTGTCCCCAGTCATAGTAGTCGGGAGCGAAACTTCAAGAGAAAAAGGGGTATTTCAGCGACGTGAAACACTGACCTTACTATCAATGACTCTGTGTAAACCACCGACAATTCCGAGGATTCTTAAGGCGGCTTCTTTTTTAAAAAATATATTTTTATTGATTTCAGAGAGGAAGGGAGAGGGAGAGAGAGAGAGAGAAACATCAATGATGGAAGAGAATCATGGATCGGCTGCCTCCTGCACGCCCCCTACTGGGGATCGAGCCCGCAACCCAGGCATGTGCCCTTGATCGGAATCGAACCTGGGACCTTTCAGTCTGCAGGCCAAGGCTCTATCCACTGAGCCAAACCAGCTAGGGCTAAGGCGGCTTCCTGAAGCCCATTGTTCCACAAGCCAGTGCTCCGGGCAGCGGCGAGAGGTCCACGCACAGCCTACTCAACTCTAGAGCCCGCAGGTCCAGTGATCCTAGAGCAGCCGTGGGCAAACTACGGCCCGTGGGCCGGTTGAAATGAATAAAACTAAAAAAAAAAAAAAAATAAGACCGTACCCTTTTATGTAATGATGTGTACTTTGAATTTATATTAGTTCACACACACACTCCATCCATGCTTTTGTTCCGGCCCTCGGTCCAGTTTAAGAACCCATTGTGGCCCTCGAGTCAAAAAGTTTGCCCACTCCTGTCCTAGAGCCACAAACCCATCACAGGGGGGGGGGGGGGGGGGAGTAACACAATGTCGTAGCAACGAGCGACCTGAATCCTAACGCGGAGTGGGTATCCTTCGCTACATACGGGTCTGTGCCTGTTTTATCATCTGTGACTACCCCATGGGGCTTTTTTGAGTTCCTACCTATAAACTGCTTAGGCCTTAATCGGCAGGGCTCAGTGGTTGAGCGTCGACCTATGAACCAGGAGGTCACGGTTCGATTCCGTCAGGGCACAGGCCCGGGTTGCAGGCTCCATCCCCAGTGTGGGGGTGCAGGAGGCAGTCCATCCATGATTCTCTCCTCATTGATGTTTCTCTCTCTCTCTCCCTCTCCCTTCCTCTCTTTAATCAATAAAAATATATATTTTTAAAAAGCTAACGAGCCTTTAAGAATCAATCCAACAGACTCTTTCCCCAGCCTGAGCGAGGGCTCACCTTCCCTGAAGTCCCTGAGGGGCGACGTTCCAGGCGAGGTCGTCGTCGCTGTCGTATCTGCGAGGGTTGTCGAAGAAGTAGGACCTGGGGCTGAACCCGTGGCTGGGGACCATGCCCGGACTGGTCTGGAAAGACAGGGACTGGTCAGCGCACCTTGGACACGGGCTCGCGGGCAAAGGGGAAGCAGGCCTCCTGTGAGAGACAAGAGGGGTTCTTCTCTTCCGGGCAGAGGTCCCCCCATTCTGCTGCAGAACGTGTCTCCTGCTTTCATTTTGAGGAGGTTCTCTTCCTTTTACCACGTGGACATCTTTCAGAGTTCTGCTGACAACTGTGACGTATCACAGTCTGAACCCCGAGACGAAAAACCAGACAACGCCCAGATTAGCCAAGCGAGATGGTCCCAAATTGCATATAAACCTGTATAATAATAATGTGGGCATTCCCAGCAATTTAAAAGAATGACAGTAGCCGGGCCAGCATGGCCCAGTGGTTGAGTGTCAATGTATAAACCAGGAGGTCAATCTATAAACCGATTCCCGGTCAAGGGCACATGCCCAGGTTGCAGGCTCGATCCCCAGTGTGGGGCGTGCAGGAGGCAGCCGAGCCATGATTCTCTCTCATCATTGATGTTTCTCTCTCTCTCTCTCCCTCTCCCTTCCTTTCTAAAATCAGTAAAAAACATATTTTTAAAAAATTAAAACATAAAAGTCAACCAACAGAGTCTGAAACAAAGTTGTTATGGGATGGTCTCTTTCTGGCGTTTCTTTGTCTGGTTTCGGAATAAGGCAACGCTGGCCTCATTAAACGCGCGTGGGAGCCTTCCCTTCAGGGGGCTTAGGAATCAAGGGTCCAAAAGGCTCCGTGAAACACGGCGACGTTCCACATCACAACAGGCTGAAGGCGGCTTTCGATGGACAAGCTGAGAAAAAGGCTCACGGTCCACCTGTGCTTGGAAAGGGGCGCGATTTCCTGCAAATACCAAGCGGTTTCCTCTACTCCAGCGGTTCTCAACCTCCTGGCCCTTTCAATACAGCTCCTCATGTTGTGACCCAACCATAGCATTATTTTCGTGGCTACTTCATCACTGTCATGTTGCTACTGTGATGAATCGTCATGTAAATATCTGATCTGCAGGATGGTCTGAGGCGACCCCCGTGAAAGGGTCATTCGACCGCCAAAGGGGTCGGGACCCACAGGTTGAGAACCGCTGCTCTACTCACCAGGTCCTTGGCAGGGTTTCGGACGCGGAAGAAGTACACGACCAGGGAGGTGGGCAAGAGCTCCCACACGAAGAGGACCACCCCGAACACCACGTACCCCGCGTCTCCCAGCTGGTTCTTCAGATCCGCCTGTGGAGGGAGGGAGGAGGTGCAGCCAGGGGCCGAGGGCAGAGGAAATAGGCAAGACAGACAACGCACCCAAGTCAGCTGCAAAGGGCCCATCCTTTTCCTTCTCTCCCCCGTCGCGTCGAAGCGCGGCAGCCAAAACTAACCATGCACTCGCTCTGCAGAAACTCTGCATCTCGCATTCCATCTACAACATGTCTCAACGGCACCGTGTTCTTTTTCCGTCCACACGAATGACATGTGCGCACGTGGCCACATGTTTTGCTCCTAGATTCTACGGGCTGCAACACACAGTCTCTATAAATAACTATCCCCTAAAAGCTGCAGAATGTAAAGAATTTGTGGTCATATTTTAAATCTGTTATATAAGCTCCCCTGGCTGTGGTGACTCAGTGGTTCAGCATCATCCCAATGAACCAAGAGGTCCTGGGTTCGATTCCCAGTCGGGGCACATGCCCAGGATGGGGCCTCAATCCCCAGTGTGGGGTGTGCAGGAGGCAGCTGATTAATGATTCTCTCTCACCACTGATGTTTCTCTCTCTCTCTCCCTTCCTCTCTGAAATCAATAAAAAAGTATATATATTTCTTGACTGCGATGGCTTCTCTGTGTGTTTCTCTCCCTCAGAGGCCGACAACCCCTGGAGGCAGGGAGGGAGGGGGTCTGTTCTCTCATATCCCAGCTCTGCCCGGGGCCGGAGAAACAGTATGTGTCAGGTGAGAGAATGCAAACTCATTCTCGCTTTTTCTGAGCTTTTGTGAACAAGGATGCCAGATGATATCTCACGACCTTTGTTCATCTGCTTTATAATTTATGCATTTCCAGAACAGATTACAAAGAGAGAAACACAGTGAGACCACTGGGAAAATGAGCTTTCGCGAACACCTGAATGTCCTCAGTCCCCTTCGTCTCGATTTCCTCAAACGCTATTGGTACTCGTGCACCATTAAAAAAAAGTCTAGCCCTAACCAGTTTGGCTCAGTGGATAGAGTGTCGGCCTGTGGACTGAAGGGTCCCAGGTTCGATTCCAGTCAAGGGCATGTACCTTAGTTGCGGGCACATCCCCAGTAGGAGATGCTGATCGATGTTTCTCTCTCATCGATGTTTCTAACTCTATATCCCTCTCCCTTCCTCTCTGTAAAAAAAATCAATAAAATATATTTTAAAAAAGTCTAATTTTGTAATTTCATGTATTTTCAAAAACTAAATATAACTGGTTTTACCTGTGCAAATTTCACCCTGCAGTAAGACCATTTCCATTTCTACGGAAGCATTTGAACTGTAAGGAGAAAGGGCGCGTGTGTGTGTGTGTGTGTGTGTGTGTGTGTGCGCGCTGCTTTCACAGGTACTACATCCGTCTTACAGATGAGGATGCGGTTCCCACACAGGCGACTCTCAAGGTCACCCAGCTGTTTAAGCAGCAAAAGCAAAGAACTTCACACTCTTGCTACGTGGGATGCCACAGGGGACGCCCCGTCGCGCCCACTGACCTGGTCGGACACGTTGTACCAGTCGTAATCGAAGGAATGCACGTTCTTGCTCTGAGAAAAGGATAAGATGAACAGGTTGTAGCAGGCGCGGGAGGCGTACAGCAGGACGACGGTCACGCCGACGGCGGTCACCTGGCACACGGAGGAGCCCTGCAACGCGGGAGCCATGAGGGGCGCGCCCACTCCAGGTGCGGACACCAGCCTCCTCCCTGACCCCTCCACCCTCGGGCCGCAGACCCTGCCCCCACCTCGCGTCCCACAGCCCTCCCTAAAGCCCCCGGTGAGCTGCCCACAGACACTGCAGAGCCTGGGAGTGGATGTGCAGGTGCCTCCAGCAGGTTAAAACCTGGGCCATTTGCCAGAACAGGAAAGGCAGGCGGTTGGTTGACCGTCTCTTTGTGCTTCCATGTCTCTGGGTCTGTTTTTGTTCATCAGTTTATTTTTTCCTTAGATTCCACGCGGGAGTAAGATCATGTGATGCTTTTCTCTGACTGGCTTATTTTGCTTAGAATAATAGCTCAGAGGGAAGGCAGGGTGGGTGGGTGGGAAGAGATCAACCAATGAACTTCTGTGCATATATGCATAACCCGTGGACACAGACAATGGGGTGGTGAGGGCCTGGGGGAAGGTGGGAATGGGCTGGAAGAGGTCAATGGGGGGAAAAGGAGGATCCATGTAAAACTTTCAACAATAAACATGAAAAAAAAAAAAGGCTTGGCTGGTGTGGTTCAGTGGTTGAGCGTCGACCTGTGAACCAGGAGGTCATGGTTCAATTCCCGGTCAGGAAACATGCCGGGTTGCAGGCTCGATCCCCAGTGAGGGGCGTGCAGGAGGCAGCCCACCCATGATTCTCTCTCATCACTGATGTTTCTCTCTCTCTCCCACTCTCTCTGAAATCAATAAAAAGGTATTTTTAAAAAGAAATAAATGGAGTAAAACGGTGGTTACAACCATGGCACCTCCAGGCCAGGAGTTCATCCATCCTGCACGCTCCGCTGCCCCGAGCCCCCCACACGGAACGCGTCTCGCACACCAAGTTCAGTGGCCTCCGTCCCTCCCCGTCTGGGCGGCCGCGACGTGTGGCTAATCATTGGCAGGTCAGGTGTGAAGAGCACGGACCCGGCCACTATTTTTAGACCCGGAAGAAGGACGGCTCTTGGGGGCCCGTCTGCACCCTCACCTTGGACTCCAAGTAGATGTTGGCCAAGGACATCTTAGAGATCTTGTAGAGGCAGACGGAGAGGGAGACGGCGCACAGCACGAAGAGGGTGTCGTTGATGGCCACGCGCACGGAGACGATGGCCTTCCTCTCCCAGGTCCCCGTCTTCACCAGCACCGCGCAGGTGAGGTTCACCAGCAGGAACACCAGGCTGATGAGCAGCGAGGCCAGGTACAGGGGCAGCCTGGGAGGGGGAGAGGTTAGGGCACCACAGCTGCCCAGTCTGGGCCAATCTGGAAGAACACTGGTATTTTTATGGTGAAGCAGGACGGGCCAACATTAACAAACACTTCTGTTTGTCTGTGTTTTAATCCTCCCCCGAGGATATTTTCCCACTGATTTTTAGAGAGGAAGGGAGAGGGGGAGGGAGAGCGAAACATTGATGTGAGAGAAACACATCGATGGGTTGCCTCCTGCACACGCCCCCGACCAGGGTCCGGGCAGGGGAGGAGCCTGCAACCGAGGTTTACCTGCCCTTGACTGGACTCGAACCCTTTGGTCCGCAGGTTGATGTTCTATCCACTGAGCCACACCAACTAGGGCTTTTTTGTTAGTTTGTTTATTTTAAATATATTTTTATTGATTTCAGAGAAGAAAGGAGAGGGAGCGAGAGAGAGAAACAGCAATGATGAGAGAGGATCATGGATCGGCTGCCTCCTGCACACCCCACACTGGGGATGGAGCTTGCAACCTGGGCATGTGCCCTGACCAGGAATCAAACTGTGACCTCCTGGTTCACAGGTCGACGCTCAACCACTGAGCCACACTGGCCTGGCGACAAACACTTCGGTGGTGGGCTCTGGAGGCGGGCGGTCCAGGACTCAATCGCAGGCTGTGCCCTTAGGAAGGTGCCTGAACTCTGGAGCCCCAGGCCCGGCCCCGGGCAGCCTGAGGACCGAATGCCACGGACGTCACCGTGAACGAGGACGCGCCCGGAGCACAGGCTCAGCTCGGAGCTGGTTCCACGAGCAGCTCGCCACCCGCCCCCTGGGAACCTGCGTGAGCCTCGGTGTCATCAACTGAAAACACTAAGTAACAGCGACGCCCTTCGGCTGTGGCCTCTCTCCTCACCCAGAGCCTCTCCTTTCACCAACAGCACATTCTAGAAAACGGCTTCCTCCACGGGGTCCACAGTCCCCGCCAACCCCGATCTCTCAGGCCCACGACTGACTCGCCAGCTCAAGGGTGTAACCCTCGCGGCGCCATCTCCCCAACCTGAGCTCCCCGCCGCCTCCTGCTCCGAGCCGTCCCCGGGGAGCCCCTGCTTCCTCTTCCTCTTCTTGCCCCGAAGTGACCAAGGCACCGGGCTCCCCCGCACTCCCTCTTCCTGTGGCCATGGCTCCTGTATGACCAGGTCATCTCTGTCCAGACCACGTGCCAACTAGCAGGCCATCGCGGTCACCACGGCCATGGCCACGGCCACGCTTAGCTCCTAATGCTCCTCCTCCAGTTCCCGATGACCACACTTCCTCCGTCATTTCCAACGTAAGATTTCAGACTCCTGACTGGAGATCTCTATCACACTCACACACACACTCACATATACACACTCCTACCCACATATACATACTCACACACTCACATTCACATATGCACTCAGACGTACATTCACACACACACACACATACATACATATATACACACATAAACTCACACATACATTCACACACACACACTCACACATACATTCACACACAGTCACACATATATATTCACATTCACATATACACTCACACGTACATTCACACATACATTCACACACACATACACACACTCACACATACATACATATATACATAAACTCACACATACATTCACACACACATATACACTCACATTCACACAGTCACACATATATACTCACATTCACGTATGCACTCACACATACATTCCCACACTCACACACACTCACATATACACACACACTCATGCACACTCACACATGCACATACATGCACTCACACCCACTCACATACATTCTCATACTCGTGCACACAGACACACATGCACACTTGTGCATGCTCACACACACACACATACACACACACTCGTGCACACTCACCCCAGGAACCTGTCTCGAGACCCAGAAACCCTGCCGCCTGTCGGAGCGGCCCCCACAGAGCCGCTCACCTGCTCCCCCCCCTCCGGAACCCCCGGCACTTACCGGTACTTGAGTAACTCTGGAGAGTACTTCGACTTGGCCTTGAAGATCACCTGCAACGACAGGACACATGGCGGGTTGGGGACACAGTCAGCTGACACCACGGAGATGACATCGCCGCTCGGACTCCCTCCCGCTCTGCACAGGCCCTGAACGTGGCGTTATCACACAGGCGGCGGGCGCACACTCCCACTCTCATTCACAAACAACACCCGGCCCCATCTTGCCTGGTCTCCATACCCTCTGCAACCGGTTTGCTAACCCCTTGTGACATGTCTGCCACGTGTGGACGCCGAAACACAGCTCTAGGTCATGGTCCTCCCTGAGGCGTGGCGGCCCACCGTATACGGGCCACGGCTGTGTCCACCTATGGCACAGGGGCATCTAGAGATGCCAAGAGTGTGGACGCTGGGGCTGCTCCCCTGGCTTCGCATGCTGGCCCCACCAATGCGCAGCTGTGTGGTTCTGGCACCATTACCTAACCTCTCTGTGCCTCAAGTCCCTCATTTTTTTTGTTTTTTGGTTAATTTTCACCCAAGGATATTTTTCCATTGATTTTCAGAGAGAATGGAAGGAAGGGGGAGAGCCAGAGAAACATCGATGTGAGAGAGACACATTGATTGGCTGCCTCCGACACCCGCCCTGACCAGGGCCAGGGATCAAGCCTGCAACCGAGGCACCTGCCCTTGACTGGGAATCGAACCCAGGACCCTTCAGTCTGCAGGTCGATGCTCTATCCACGGAGCCAAACCAGCTGTAAAAGGGGATGAGTAACAGTCCGGGTGGGTTTTTGTGAGGATGCGGTGGAGGAGGACCTGGGGACACTGCATGCGGTCCCTGCTGCTGCCAGTCATCCCGTGTGTGTTCTCAAACCACGATTCCAAGGGCACAAACTGCTCAGCTGTGACACGGGCGCTTTCTCGAGCATAAAGGGAACCTCCGGAGCCCAAGGGTTAGGCACGCCTGACACATCTGCTATTTTCTCCCGCAGTTCCTCTGTGCGCACTTCCTCCGGACAGATTGCAGAAGTTACGCAAACCTGCGGGCCTGGGGGCCTGTCACAGCCCACGGTGAGCAAGCCCGGCTCTGGCCGGCTCAGCGTGACTCAGGGGTTGAGCGTCAACCTATGAACCAGGAGGTCACAGGTTTGATTCCTAGTCAGGGCACACGCCTGGGTTGCGGGCTCGATCCCAGTAAGGTGCGTGCAGGAGGCAGCCGATCCATGATTCTCTCTCACCATGGATGTTTCTCTCTCTCCCTCTCCCTTCCTCTCCTCTTCCTCTTCTTGCCCCAAAGTGATGAAGGCACCCGGGCTCCCCTGCACTCCCTCTTCCTGATGGCTCCTGTACGACCAGGTCATCTCTGTCCTCGTCCAGGCCACACGCCAACCAGCCGGCCATCGCAGTCACCACGGCCACGGCCACACTTAGCTCCTAATGCTCCTCCTCCAGTTCCCAATCCTATATAATAAAAGGCTAATACGCAAATCGACCAAACGGTGGAACGACCAGTCGCTATGATGCGCACTGACCACCAGGGGGCAGACACTGAACGCAGGAGCTCCCCCTGATGGTCAGTGTGCTCCCACAGGGGGACTGCCGCTCAGCCAGAAGTTGGGCTCACGCTGACAAGTGCAGCAGTGGTGGTGGAAGCCTCTCACACCTCCGCAGCAGTCGGACATTCCCCCGAAGGCTCCTGGACTGCGAGAGGGCACAGGCTGGGCGGAGGGACCACCCCCAAGTGCACGAATTTCATGCACCAGGCCTCTAGTAAAAATATTATATCTTTTTAAAAAGTAGTATTTGGAAAGATCATACACATTCGTGGACTGGAAAATATGCTGATACGCAGGACTAATAAGAAGGCTTTGGTGTAGATCATTTTGATATAATAGCTACTAAAAACAGTACAGATGCTATTTCCTCCAAACTTTTAGTCAGGGACTTCCACGACACCAGTGAAATCTATCCTTTTTCTATCTTTCTTTTCTTTTTAATTAAAAAAATACTTTTACTGATTTCAGAGAGGAAGGGAGAGGGAGAGAGAGAGAGAGAAACATCAATGATGAGAGAGAATCACTGATCAGCTGCCTCCTGTGTACACCCTACTGGGGATCGAGACCACAGCCTGGGCATGTGCCCCAACCGGGAATTGAACGGTGACCTCCTAGTTCATAGGTCGACGCTCAGCCACTGAGCCACGCCGGCTGTCCCGTGAGGCAGCTCTCAAATTACCCTCGGCAGGGGGCATGCTGGGTGCCCTGCCCTGGGGCAGAGTCCTTGTGGAAACGGACATTTTCGTGCCTGGAAATCACCTGAGAAGCAGAGGCGGCGAGGATGTGGCAGTGGCCATGTTATTAAACTTTATGCCACGCGAAACACAAGTGTTTGCAAAGTACTTTACAGAGACTCCACTTTCATTAACTCCACGGCATGTGCTCCCATTAGCTTATTAACAACACTCCCCATAAAATGACTCCTGTAAAAGCACCCCAGTCAATGTCCGGGGGCACGCGTGGGCCTGACCCCGGCTGCAGCAGCTCAGGGGGCCGGGTGTGGCACTTTGGGGAGGGAGTTAGCCAGTCCTAGCTCAGGGGGGCTCCAGGCTGGAGGCTGTGAATGTCCCATCCAAACAAGGACCGCCCCTCCCACCTGCTGTCACTCAAAAAAGCCAGTCTGGCCCTAGCCAGTTTGGCTCAGTGGGTAGAGCCTGCAGCCCAAAGGGACCAGGGTTCGATTCGGTGAAGGGCCGGTACCTAGTACCTCGGTTGCAGGCTCCCCTTGCCCCTCCCCGCCCACCCCGCAGGAGGCAACCAATCCATGTGCTTCTCTCACATTGATTGCTATTTCTGTCTTTCCCTCTCTCTTCCACTCTCTAAAAATCAATGGAAAAATATCCTCAGGTGAGGATTGGAAAAAAAAAAAAAAAAAGACATCCAGGTGACCTTTCCAGGCTGGGGTCAGAGGTCGGCGGAGAAATTCTAGAGTTCCAGTCCTCCAGCGGGTACGCTTGCCATCGGTACCAGCTCTGTTTTGTGCAAGAAGATGCTGCCCACGTCCTGCGTGGAGAGGGCCCCACCCCCATCGGATGGTGCCTCGCTGGGAGCAGAAGAGACTCACAGGCGGCCTCCAGCCCGCGCCGGCCTCCTCCACCTCTTTCGGGGCTGGGAGGGCATCACCTGAGAGATACAGGCCAGCAGGCAGGTAGAAGAGGCTCAGACGCCCCAGAACCAGTGCCTCTGCCCCCTTCTCAGCGCCCTGGTTCCGCGACGCCCCCCACCCACCGCCCCGTGCGCACCCAGCGCCGCGCTCGGCCACCTGCCAGGTGCGGGCGCCTCCCGCTCGCCCCACGCACCTGCGTGAAATACAAGTTCATGAGCGTGAGCGTGAAGAACTGGAGGCACACGGGGAAGCAGTAGAGCAGCCAGAAGAGGAAGGGGCCGAGCGCGTTGGCCGCCACGAAGTCCCTGAAGTAGAAGGAGAAGAGGACGGTCCGCAGCGAGGCCCAGAGCAGGCAGAGGAAGAGGAAGACGCTCTGGTAGCTGAGCCGCTTGTGGCCGTAGCGCAGCACCAGCCAGAGCTGCGCGTAGATGAAGGCGAAGAGCAGCGAGTAGAAGGCGGTGTAGACGCCGGTGAGGCCGAGCTTCACGTAGGGGGGCACGGCCGGGGTCAGCGTGGGCGGCAGCGAGTCGTTGCGCAGCGGGTCCCAGCGCGGGGCCGCCATCGGGCCGGGGGCGCAGCGGCGCGGCCGGGGGCGCGGGCCTCATCGGGGTGGGCCGTCCGCGCGGGGGTCTCCGCGCATCGCTCCGCCCGGGTCCGGCTGCGGGAGGAAAGACAACAAGGCGACTTCCTCCCGGCACCACATGATGTACGGGGCGGCCTTTGTCTGGGATTGGCGGCGCCGCACCCCCGCCCCGCGCGCCTCCGCACGCATCGCGCGCCCCCGCCCCGCGCGCGCCCCGCGGCCAGTCCCGTGGGCCCACCGGCGCGCCCCACCCTGCGCGTCCCCGCCTCCCCGTTCCGTCCGTCCGTCCCCCTGCGCGTCCCCGCCCCCCCACCCCCGTCCCGTTCGCCATCCTGCGCGTCCCCGCCCCGCGCGCGTCCTGCAATGCGCGCCCCACGGCCAGCCCCCGGGGCCCACCCGTCCCGGCCCCCACACTGCGCGCCCCGCCCTCACCCTGCGCGTCTCCGCCCGCGCGTCCCAGGGCCGCACCCCGTGCCCCGCGCGTCTCCGCCCCGCGCCCCCAAAGCCCCCGGTTCCGCGCCCCTCACCCCCGAACCCCGAAGCCTCCCAGACCTCCCGACCATCTACCCCTCGGGGACAGAGCTCAGCGTCTCGTGCTTTCTGATGATTCCTTGTTGTTTTGCAGAAGTTCAAGCTTTTCGAAAACACCAAACTTTGCAAGTGTTTTTTTCCTTTAAAACTAAAACTTTATGGCTCCATGGCTGCGCACGCTGGGGTGACGTTTCTTTCTAAATTCAGGAATGCCCAAGGCAGGGTTGTGTGCTTGAGGTCCAGTTTGTGAACTCGGAAGGAAGGACTGGTACGAGGGGCGGCCATCGGCTCCCGGAGACCCGCGCCGTGCGCCCCACGCCATGGCACACGGTGTGCGTGGTGGGGACGCTGCACCCCATGCCCCCTCTCAGTGCACGGGGCGGGGGGGGGGGCGGGCATAGGGGGGCCAGTGCGCGCGGGTGTCAGTGGCCGGAGCCGCAGGACTTCCGAGGGAAGTGGCATCGCTCTCTGGTCCTGCCTCCAGTTACAATGCAACCCGCCTAAGTAGGACGGTCCCTCCTGGACCAACAAGTACCTGGTTCACCGTGGCTGAGTGGGCGTGCCCCTGGGGCGCTTCTCTGCCTTGTCCTGGGGGTGCCCGCAGTGTAGAGCGCTCAAGGAGGGGACACCCAGCTTCCTCTAGTACCCAAGATAGAGACCCGATTCTTCCTCAACTTCCCAGGCCAAGAAAACTCTCTCCACACTAGCCTCCCCAAACGGAACAAATCCTCATCTGTAACAGGGTCACTTCCTCCGGGAAGTCTTCCCAGACCGCCACCCATCGCCCACTCGGCTTAGGCTGGGTGCACCACCTGTGTCCTCGAAGAGCATCTCTGCGTAATTGTCAGTCTCTCCACTTAGAAGTTTCCTTAGGACAGAAGCTACCAATGTCTTTCCAGTACTTGCCCGGACATCCCAAACTACCTTTCTGTTTTCTCATCCTGAAGGAATGTCGTTTGTCATCAGAGGCCTGGGCTGTGACGAATGTTGCTTCCATAAAGAGGGCCTCTGAGCATCCTATCTCTCTTTCCTGTGGTCAATGGTGTAAGGTTCAACAACCCATCCCTCCCTTTGGAGGTCACCTCTCTCTCTAAATCTATTTTTATTGATTTCGGAGAGGGAGGGAAAGTGACAGAAATATCAACAATGAAGAGAATTGTTGACTGGCTGCCTCCTGCACGCCCCACACTGGGGATGGAGCCCGCAACCCGGGCATGTGCCCTGACCGGGAATCGCACCGTGACCTCCTGGTTCATAGGTCGATGCTCAATCACTAAGCATTATAGGTCTTGAAGCAAGTGAGGAACAGTGTCCCTACGCAGGGAGAAGGGAAGCTGTGTGCTTTATGCGTCCTCAGTCCCATCGGATGCCCCATTCAGTCTCCCAATGCTCACTGTTTCCCGTCATTTCCCTGATTATCAATGGGAGGAGAGAAGGTTGTGAAGCTGCTAGCAGATGTGAATCAGGAACCCACAGGTCTCCCTTTTGGTTTCGTTGTGGTTGCAAAAGATAAGGTGTTCTCTTCAGAGTCGGCGGGTCCCTGGTTTTTAGACTCCCTGCAACCAGGATTGAAGACCCTGCCATTCACTTTTGAAGCTTTCTAACCAGGTCATCTACCCCTCCATCCACAGTTCTGGATTCTGGGTGCCTCAGGCTGCTCTCTCTGTTTTTCGCTGCCTTAACTTCAGCGGGTCCTTCACTGTTCCTGGCGACTTGTGTCCTGAACTGTCTTAAAACCTCTTGAGTTTTTGTTGTCCTTAGATCCAACCAGACCAGGTCATCAATCTCAAATTCTCCCCATTCCTTGAGGATGTGTCCCTGCCACCACTCCTGGTGTCAATTTCTGCATTTCTCAGGATTCTAGATTGCAAGCAACAGAAGTAGACATTGGCTAATTTTTTTTTTTATCCCACTCTCTGCCTTTATCTTCACAGTGTTCTCTCTGTGAGCATCTCTGTGTCCAAAATTTTTTTATAAGGACACCAGTCGTGTTGGATTAGGACCCACCCTGATGACCTAATCCGGGTTTGGTTTTGTTTTAACTTTGGTTAATTTAAGCAGAAAAAGAATGTATTAAAAGCCATGTTAGGTAGCTCGTGAAATCTTCAGGATTTCAGAAAGAGGAGTGACGGGGGAAATATGCTGCAGAACTGGTTTGACGACACTGCTCCCACCCCTGGCTTGGACATGCTGGTTTGCATCACTGGCCACACAATGCCGGACACTGGAAACGGCCTGTATTCGTTCAGAATGGAGACAGTTGTAAAGAACAGAAAACGTGGCATATAGTTTAAAAATAAATGCCTGTGCCTGGCCGGCATGGCTCAGTGGTTGAGCATCAACCTATGAACCAGGAGGTCACGGTTTGATTCCCGGTCAGGGCACATGCCTGGGTTGGGGGCTCGATCCCCAGTGTGAGGCGTGCAGGAGGCAGCCGATCAATAATACTCTCTCATTATCGATATTTCTGTCTCTTTCCCTCCCTCTCTGAAATCAATAAAAATATATTTTAAAAAGTAACAAAAATAAATGCTTGTGTGGTTTTTTTTGTTGTTTGTTTTTTACATTATCTAGAAGTCAGTTGTTACAAGCATGGGTTCAACACACACACACACACACGCACACACACACACACACACACACACACACACACACACACACACACACAATCTGTCCAGGACCCCGGCTCTTTCAATCTGCGTTCCTACCCTGAGCGCATATATTGGCTTTAATCTTCCAAGTGGTTCCCTTGTGGGTGCACCATGGCTGCTGCAGCCCTCGATGCCGCATTTGCATTCAAGGCAAAAATGGGGAGAAGACAGAAAGAGCGACTCCTGTATCAGGAAGGCAAGACTTTTCCAAGAAACCTCAAGACGAACCTCCTGCGACACCCCCCTGGGAGAAGGGCACCGTCCAGCCATCCCGTGTTACGAAGGAAAACAGGGACGCACATCGTCAGCAGGACCTGCTTCTACGGTGTGGGGTACAGGGGTTGGGGGAGCCCATCTCTCTATGCATTCCATGCATCCTGAGTGAAGAGTTTCTGATTCAGAGTCAAAGTTAGAGACCCTCTTTGACAAAAGGAAAAAACAAAAACGCTGCAAATACAAAGTTGGGTACGACGGTGAATATTTATATAGAACAACAAATTGCAAAATCCAGGAGAATCATGCAATGTTTTTACTTGTTAAGGGTCCGGGCATCTCTGAAGTCCCTGCCTTTCCTGGCTGCACAGTCTTCGTATGAGCATGACTCTGCAACAGAATTTTCTGTAGAGAGAATAGAAAGGTCTTTTTTCCCCCCCTCTGGCACGATCAGCTAAGTACAGTTTCTATTATTGAAGTTCTGGAGAGTTTCAGCATCACAACTGGTCACTGTTAGTCGTGCTGGCTTTTAGGGCTGCTGTCAGCTGGGGGACTTCAGGCAACTTCTCTGTCCCTTCTGATGCGTAGTTTTGGGGGGACCTCACGCCACCTCGCGCAGGGATCCACCTTAAATCGTCTCTGAATTGTGGACGCGTGTTGGCCGGTGTGTGGGGCTGTCCCTGTGGTGGATGGAGTTTTCAGTCACCCTCCTGGTTCAGGCCCAGGCTGCTGAGGGGCAGACAAAGGCCGGCCTCAGAAGATGCCGTGCATGGGCCCAGCGCGCCCAGGGCCTCCTTGGCCTCGCCCCTCTTTGTGCACAGTGACTGGTTTGTGTTCAGAGAGAGAAGAATGAGCCCGCCAGCGTGGCTCAGTGGTTGAACGTCGACCTATGAACCAGGAGATCACGGTTCGATTCCCGGTCAGGGCACCTGCCCATCTTGTGGGCTCAATCCCCAGTGTGGGGCGTGCAGGAGGCTACCGATCCATGATTCTCTCTCATCACTGATGTTTCTCTCTCTCTCTCTCCCTCTCCCTTCCTCTCTGAAATCAATACAAATATATATATTTTAAAGTTTTCATTTCAGACCATCCTTTATGGTGACTTGAGGTCTCTGAGTTTGTAAGGCCCCCACACAGGCCTTTCCTGAGCTCGTCAGGTTGGCGTGCGGCCTCTTGTCGTCCGCACGTCGGTGGTGAGGGCTGTGGACTGGGCTGGCCCCCTCCCCCTTCCCCGTTCCCTCCGTGACAAAGCGACTCAGAGGCACGTGGCCCTGAGACGAGCAGCCACTTGGTAGACATGTGAGTCGCCGGCTCCAGGGCTGAGCATCACAGGACCAAGAGGGAACGAGGAGGAAGTAGAGTTGGGGGGAGAGGGGGAGGGCTCTGGAGACAAGTGGGAACTGGGGGTGTGGGCAGAAAAAGAAGGGTTTGGTAAAGGGAAGAGAGAGGGTCTGACCTCACAGGCCGCGTGGGCTGCCAGGAGGGAGAGCGAGCAGGTTTGGGACCATCCTGAGGTCAGGACGGGGGCTGGTGCGGTGAGAAGGCTCGAGGGAAACCAGACAAGCAAACCCGCCAACCACCCTTTCCAAGGTGTTAGAATAAGACCTTTCACGCACCGTGTTTCGTGAATTCCTGCCCGTGTCTCCATCGATGAATTATAGGGTCCAAACTCTTTTCTTCAACATCTCCCATCGCCAACGATTCACTTCTCAACCAAGTTGTTCACGGAAAAAATGTCCAATCAGGGCAGAGTTTAGGGCAGGAAAGAAATGTTCTTCTACTCACCAGAGATTCTCAGATGGCACTCAGTAATGAAAGACAGATTAACAAG